GAAGCAAGCATCAGTTGCTTACTGAGCACTTCAGTTTTCACGGGTTGCGGCTCAGAGTGTCTTGCCGCCGTCACTTGCGATCTCATATCCGCCGGCTACATAGCACGGGACCCCGAGTCCCACATGTGCGATCATGTTTACCCTTCCTTGCCGACGCGTTAACTATATTCCAAAGTAGGATGAAGAATGCACAGCTAGTGGGAATGCCGCTTTTACTTTTTATAACAGTGCATGCTGAACAGCTGCCTTGTGAGTCTAACAAACTCACTTAATTCTACTTCTGACCGAAATACTTTCAGAAGGGGAACTGAAGCCATCCTGTTTTTTGATGAATAAATTCAAAAATCGTCAAAATTATCAGTTGGGAAGTAGTTCCTTCAAGAAGCGTAGTTGTGAGTGTAAAAGCGGTCTTGAATGTCGGCTAGCTCATCTGAGTCTTGCTAACCCAATTCTACTTTTTGTGCCTCTGTTTCCAATAACTTGCTGGAAACTGCAGCCCATGGTGCCTGTCGGTGAAGACAGCGTATGTTAGTATGATCATTCTTCTGTCCAGTAAAGAAGGTATGTATCAGAATACTGAGTGAAGTGGCGTCGTCCATTCTTAAAAATTTCAAACAGAAAAGGTAACTTCTTTCTTCGTAATCTCTCGGGGGTCAACATATACACAAGATTCGAGCAAAGCGATATCCAGGAGTAGATTTGTAGGCAATATTAGCTCTGTTGTGGGCCCGCCATCTGGTGTTTTATAGACCCGTGATTCTCGGATGATGATACCAAGGCCTTGTGGGAGTGCTCAAGTGAAGCAGTAAGTGAGGGTGATAAATTTACGATATTGAAACATTTCCGACTAAACAGTAAAGACAAATCAAATTCTCAACGGAAGACACCCAGGCCGTTAAAGCTTATTTCGAAGAGTAAACTTCAGGGGGATCTCTTCAGACGAATGGCAGGAGGAATCCCCGACCAAAAGAATATTTTTTTCAACAGGAATACACGGTAAAGGAGAGAATGAAATGGAGGACCTTGAGGGCGGACCTAGCCACCTTAAAAGAACAAGGAGAAAACGGCCTGAAAATAAGGAATTGGGTAATTATCCGAAGACAAAAGCCTTTTCTGTGGAGAACGCCAGTCATCCTAACGAAAGTCACACGGCCGGGCAATTAACCCCAAGTGAAAATCTCCATAAAATTAATTTTATTATGGAAATGTGCAAAGCCTCTTTAGTAAACTTGACGAACTCAA